CTAAATTTTAGAATTGGATACGCACCTCTGATTGGCTAAATTTTAGAATTGGATACGCACCTCTGATTGGTTAAATTTTATACACTTTTCAAACTAAAAATTGAATTAATCTTGAGATTGATAAAAAGAAGTGTGATAAAAACCCTCTCCCTAACATATTTAAAAAAAGCCCTCTGGATAACAAACCTCTATCTGTGAATATATCTGGGGCCAAGTTTGCCAATCAAATTCTCCACAAACACAAACACCAGCATTGTTCACTATTGCATACAACCCTAAATAACAGAAAATACATTCCGAAATATATAAAAAAGTGAACCATCAAAGATAAGACTTCAGCGACGACATTTAGAACTTATTCGGCTTTTTTCCGCTTAAATTTCTCTACAGCTGTATGAGTTTGTTGGTAAAACACAAACATATTAAAAACTATACCAATGGCGAAACCAAAGTGAAATCTTTGGGTCAAAAAGTCTTGTCCGTTGTGGAATTATATATAAAAGTATTTATAAAAGTATATAGAAAAGTATATATAAAATTATATATAAACGTATATATAAAAGTATATATAAAAGTATATATAAAATATAAAGTAAACAATGCCAAACCTTCTTCTTCAGAAACTAGATTTTCCTGGATAAAGTGTACGGCAGCATCTACATGATCATCCCGTCTAAATATTCATAAACATGATCTTCCCGTCTAAATATTCATAAACATGACCGTCCCGTATAAATATTCATAAACATGAACATCCCGTCTAAATATTCATAAACATGATCATCCCGTCTAAATATTTATAAACATGATCATCCCGTCTAAATATTCATACACATGATCATCCCGTTTAAATATTCATAAACATGATCATCCCGTATAAATATTCATAAACATGATCATCCCGTCTAAATATTTATAAACATGATCATCCCGTTTAAATATTCATAAACATAATCATCCCGTCTAAATATTCATAAACATGACCATCCCGTATAAATATTCATAAACATGATCATCCCTTCTAAATATTTATAAACATGATCATCCCGTCTAAATATTCATAAACATGATCATCCCATTTAAATATTCATAAACATGATCATCCCGTATAAATATTCATAAACATGATCATCCCGTCTAAATATTTATAAACATGATCATCCCGTCTAAATATTCATAAACATGATCATCCCGTTTAAATATTCATAAAAATGATCATCCCGTCTAAACATTCATAAACATGATCATCTCGTCTAAACATTCATAAACATGATCATCCCGTCTAAATATTCATAAACATGATCATCCCGTCTAAATATTCATAAAAATGATCATCCCGTCTAAATATTCAGAAACATGAACGTGATTATATTGTCTTAATATTTATTCTATTCTATTCTAATCTCTTTAGTCCTTACTAGCTCGAAATAACCTAACATCCATATTAACTAGCTTGAGCCGATTACTAGCTTCAACTCTAAGGCGCTGATCCCCTCACTAGCTCGAAATTACCTAACATCCATATTAACTAGCTTGAGCCGATTACTAGCTTCAACTCTAAGACCCTGAGCCCCCTCGCTCGCTAGAAATTACCTAACATCCATATTAACTAGCTTGAGTCGATTACTAGCTTCAACTCTAAGGCGTTGAGCCCCCTCGCTAGCTGTATCTAAGCAACCAGCGAACACCTAAACAATCATAGTTAGTGAAATTGGAATAACTTCCATTTAATCAACGAAAGCTAGAATGCATATTTACCTGGAAACCTAGAATATCCAGATGTTTTGCCAGTTCATGACCTATTCCTGTATCACAGCCCGTCACAAGAACAACCTGAATATTAGAGACAAAATATTTATCTTTAGATTGGATTATAGATCCTTGAAATACAGTGAGACCTAGAAAACTGTGGAATAAAAAGACGACTAAAATTTATGAATTTATTGTCAAATGAACATTAAGCATATTAATTGTGCAGCTTACGTACTACATGAAGAAGAAATTGATAAGTTTTTTTTAGAAACTGGTAAAATACATGTTCTTTAACAATTCAACAGGTTTTAGACTTTTTCTTTGATTCTAATTATTTCACCTGTAGAATCACCTTAGATTTAAAATTAAATTTATTTAATATTTTTTCCTTCAGTTTTTTCGCGAAAAAAAAAATAATTTCACGATTTATATTTTTTTCGATTCAAAGAGATATTTTTCTGATTGTATAATAAAAGATTGAACCTTAGATCCTACTTCATGCTGAGCTTGACAGAGTAAACTGCGGAGCAACCAGAACAGAATACCTGGAACATAAATATATTTATCATACAGGGAGAAAAATAAATGTCTGGAATAGGTAGACGACTCTTAAACTCACAACAAGACTTTAGTCCATTGAACATGAGACACTTAAATAGTGCAATGTAAACAGACCAATTTCACTGATAAGCGATTTAATATGTTATTAAGTAAAACTATTTGCTTTGTAACAATATCAAAAACACTTAATCAATGTTTTAATGTCGTCTTCTACAAATTTGTTGGTTATCACTGTACAATAGTATTCTTTAAAAGGAGCTTTCAGTGTCCTTCCATCTTAAGAGTGGCGTATTCTATTCCCAACAGCACCCTTTAGTCCTTTATCTAAGTAAGAATGAGGAAGATATCATGGATTTATTTCTTAAAACGTGTTGAATACTGACAATTGACAAGTCAGTTCAGCAGAAAAAAATTTTTTTTTGCAAGAAAAAGAAGGAAACATCATTCATTCCTTAATCAGTCAAAAGTTTGTGACTCTATAAAGATATTGTTATCTAAAGTAAATTACGCTACATTCATTAAAAAGGATTTGTTAATTTCTAAGTTATAATTGTTACAGACACATTTCAGTAAAACTATATGGAGGTCGGAATTAATGAATGAATGAATTAAAGTCGACTAATTTAATTTCGTTGTGTGTAGAGTTAGTTCTATTTAATTTCGTTATGTGTAGGGTTAGTTCAATTTAATTTCATTGTGCGTAGAGTTAGTTCTATTTAATTTCATTGTGTGTAGAGTTAGTTCAAGTTGATTTCGATGTGACTAAAACTTTCCTTAAACTAGTCATAAAGTCATACCTCAGGGCTAGTGGGACATTTTTAGAGGTATAACGAGTACAAAATAAAAATCTATTGAAAGCAATTTCTAACTAAAAGAGAGAACGAAGATGATAATAATGTTTCTGTATATTGTTTATCCAAAAGATAGTTAATGAAATTGTCTTACATTTTTCAAGCATAAAATAAGATTTTATCACGGTTAAAATCAATTGCCACTCTTATTGTTTAAATTTTAAAGTTGAAAATCATATTTTTTATTTATTTTAATTTTCTAATTACTTAATTTTATTGTTTTATTAAAGTCCGTTGTATAAATCTAATTATAAGTCTGAAATGAAGCACGTGCAGTGTAGAGTGTACAGCTTTTTATATATTACAATTATAACGTGAGAAGGTTGCGAATTTTACTGCTGGAGAGTGGAATTGTCTGATTTTATTTCCCATTGTCTGTTAGTTAGCAAGGACCTGTTTAATTTATGTATTAAAGGGAAGAGGTTGTTAGACTAAAGTCAACTAATTCTTAAAGGGCCTGTTAACGTAATTTGAAGTGCACCCTGTAAACGATTATCTGAACAACAGTGAGGAGGATATCGTCGTTTTTCTGTCTTAAAGGGACAGTAAAGGAAAAATGAAAGGGGGTATAGGCTGAAAGCTAATCACTTTAGCTCTCGATCACGATCCATGAAAGTTATATCTGATGTTCCTGTCTCGAGAATCTGATTTACAACTTTGTCAAATTTATACGAAAATTAATATATATACAATTTTGTATAAAAGTAGTGGGTTTAAAAAGATCAAATTCAGCAATTATGCAACCAATCTGAAAACGATTATATCCAGAGAAAGCTAATTGTAACTTAGGTTTACTCCAATTCTAATTTTATATTTGTTATTTCTATTTTTAATAGATTTAATTCATAATATTGGGGCCGGAGGAACGTGACAGAAATATTTTTGCAGGATATTTTAGCAATGAATAGTTTTACAAGTATTGCACATATGTAAGTGCTTATAGGTTGGTTCGCCGGTCAGTAATAGGTGTTTGTGAATTCAATCATAAAGAATAAAAATAGTGGTTTTCGCATGAGACATTTGTGTATTGTAATGCTTAACAATTAAAACAATAAAGATTGAAAACATGTTCAAAAAAAAAAGAAAACTCTGATTGAAAAAATATATTTTTTTTTTGACACGATAACTGGTTTTACTTGATTTACAATTCCAAATTAAAATTTTGTCAAAATCACAGAAAAAATAAATCTGATTGATACTTAAAGGGAGTGTTCGCGAACAGATGCGATTATTTATCGCCGTAAGCCTATTCCCCATTTCATTTTTCGCGAACACTCCCTTTAAAGTCCCCTGAATGCTTATAATGCCCTATCATCTCTACAATGATATGAAAGAATATGATAAGACCACTTCCCCTCCCTCCCCCCTCCACTCTCCCGCTTATGGAGGTCATTCTTCTTATTGAATAATCAGCAAATCATAGTCTTGTATGTGATTTGCATTTTTGCAAAGTTTCTATTGAAGTTTCTGTTTTCTAGATGTAATATTCAGTAGGTTGCATCGGACAGATATTCACGCAAACCAGTTTAAACTTATTCTAGAGTTGAACCAGAGAAAAGAAGGTTTTAAATAATATTATGTATTGACGAAAAGCTATAATGTTAGATTTTAAAAGAAACTGTTTGGAAATTTTCAGTACAAAAAAAGATATCTCACTCATTCGTAATCGAAAAAGAGTGCCGGTGTTAATCGAACAAGCAACTTTATAAATAGAGCTGGTCGCTTGATGTTACGTCTTCAATAACTTTCTAAACCTTTAAATCTGTCAATTTCTCCAAAAAAGTCGCAAAGGTTTATTTTCTAATCGACGATTTAAGAGCTGGCATTTTCTACAAATATTCTTTCTCATGAAATCAATTTTACACTGGCAGCAGTGCCAGAGTTTCTAAATTTTTTTATTAATTTAAAATATCTCTAAATTTGCAAATGAAAACTATTGTTTTCATAGAGAAAAAAAAATAATAGTTTCGTGTTTTTATAAATAATGCCTGTATTTAAAATTTCCAAATTAAGATAGATATGTCTCGTTAATTAATTTTGATCAAGAATAACATTTTATTTAGTAATGCCAATTAAAAGTTTCTGAACGGATTAGCTGACTAATCATAATTTTCAGTTCTATATATATTAGCTTAGACCTAATTTTAAAGCTTATATCTATTTAAAAAAAAATAATATATCTTTAATTTATAACCCTTTGATATTCGCAACTGTCTCTTTAGGTTTGAATTAAAAAGAAGAAGTGGTCACTGGTCATGTGCACAACCCTACTCCGGTGGGATGAAAAAGTGGTCACGTGCGCAACCCTCCTCACGTGGGATGTAGATGTGGTCACGTTCTCAACCCTACTCCCGTGGGATAAAGAAGTAGTCACGTGCCCAACCCTACTCATGTGGGATGAAGAAGTGGTCATGTGCCCAATCCTACTCCTTTTGGATGAAAAAGGGGTAACGTGCCCAATCCTATTCCTGTGGAATGAAGAAGTAGTAACGTGCCCAACCCTACTCCTGTGGAATGAAGAAGTAGTAACGTGACCAACCCTACTCCTGTTGGATGAATAAGTGGTAACGTGCCCAATCCTATTCCTGTGGAATGAAGAAGTAGTAACGTGCCCAACCCTACTCCTATGGAATGAAGAAGTAGTAACGTGCCCAACCCTACTCCTGTGGAATGAAGAAGTAGTAACGTGCCAAACCCTACTCCTGTGGAATGAAGAAGCAGTAACGTGCCCAACCCTACTCCTATGGAATGAAGAAGTAGTAACGTGCCCAACACTACTCCTGTGGAATGAAGAAGTAGTAACGTGCCCAACCCTAAATCTGTAGGATGAAGTAGTGGTCACGTGATGAAGTGAAAGCTTAAATACTTGAATACTAATTTAATAAGAAAGAAACCAGTTTCTCTTTTAGAAATAATAATCTGAAAATGGCAACACTGACATTTGGGGGACATCCTGATATCCAGTAGGATTATAGTGTAACTGATATCCAGTAGGATTATAGTGTAACTGATATCCAGTAGGATTATAGTGGAACTGATATCCAGTGTGGATAAAATTAACAGACATCCAGTGTGGATAAAGTTAACTGACATCCAGTGTGGATAGAGTGAAATTTACATCCAGTGCGAATATAGTTCAACTGAGACCTAAGTGATATCTAGTCTAAATGCAGTGTAACTGATATCCACTGTCGATCGTTCAGGGCAAATATACAGGGCAGCTACACTGATATCCAGGGCAGGTATACTGATATCCATGGCAGATATAATGATATCCAGGGCAGATGTACTGATATCAAGAGTAGATATACTAATATCCAGTACAGATATACTAATATCCAGGACAGATATAATGATATCCAGGGTAGACATACTAATATCCAGGACAGATATACTAATATCCAGGACAGATATACTAATATCCAGGACAGATAATCCAGGACAGATATACTAATATCCAGATAAAATGATATCCAGGACAAATATACTAATATCCAGGACAGATATACTAATATCCAGGACAGATATACTAATATCCAGGACAGATAAAATGATATCCAGGACAAATATACTAGTATCCAGGACAGATATACTAGTAATCAGGACAGATATACTAATAATCAGGACAGAATTACTTTAGCAAATGCTTTGCTCCAGCAAGTTCTCTTAGGTCTGTACAAATCCAGGTATAACCTTCTTTAATCTCAAGTATCTATCAACCGAGATACAACCTCTATATTCGTCTCTATGTATCGTACAGATACAACTCGCTCTTAAACTCCAGGTTACTCAATAATACTTCAGTCTGTATCAATCCAGATACGAAGCTGTACATATTCCTCAATGTATATCGTACAGATACAACTGGCTCTCAAACTCCAGGTTCCTCAATAATACTTCAGTCTGTATCAATCCAGATACGGCGCTGTATGTATTCCTCAATGTATATCGTACAGATTAGGGTTTCCATTTTTCCGGAAAAAAATTTCCATTTTGGAAATGGAATGATCCGGAAATTTGTTGCGTAAACAGGAATTCCGGGATAACTCCGGTATAAATGGAAACCGGAAATTTTCCGGTTTACGTCACGTAAACCGGAAAAATTTCCGTTTTACGGAATGGAAACCGTAAAA